TTAGTTCTGAAAAAGTAAATCAATCTTGGTATGATGATTCAGATAAGATATGGAAGCTAAAAAATTCAAGATGATGAGATAGATAATAGTTCTGAATTCTGAAGACTTCAAACGATGTTTCAAACAATGTAAAAGACAATGAAACAAGTATACTGGTGGATTATTTTAAAGGAAATAGGGTTGATGTACCATAAATTTTGCAAAATAGGTTAGTTTGTGTTAGACATTATGGCTTACCTGTTAATTGTTATCAAACGAGTTATTCTAATACATGCTTGTGACCAACTTAAAGAATGATACAGACATCACTTATCGAAAAGAAGCTGTACACCAATAATTAAACGACTTTTTATATAAAATAGCACCAAACTGTTAAGATATGAGTATGTAACGGACAAACGTTTAAAGGATGTATGTTATTTATATCAAAACCTTCCTGTCAGTCATCTATTTACATGAAATCAAACTGCGTGGGCAAGTAGGTCTAAAAGTAAGACAAAATACATTTAAAAATACTGCATTTACATAACTTTATATTACCAATGCCGAGGTGGGTAGAATGAATGGAAGCGTGTAACATAAACTAGGAAATATTGATTTTCAGAAGTATGTATGTTTATGTAAAGCTATCAGTAGACAAATGTTGATATTTATTGTTCGTTGAAAAAAAAACGTACAGTGGACTGATCGCAGACATAAACATTGGTCAAGATTTGATTTTATCAATGGTGTAAACTTCATCCCATTTAAGAAAAAGAAATTTCCACTAAATATTTTATGTTAAGTTTTTATACAATCATCTTAATTCTTCATTTAATTTGTGATTGGTTTTTCAAAGTAGATATTTATATACAGTAAATAAATAGTTTTGGTTATTTTTTAGAGAATGATGATGGTGTTATTATTCTGCATTAATTACCAATTTACTGATATGGTATGACTTCGAAACGTCTTGAGTGTAGACATATGTGAGGTCACGAATGTAGATTGTTAGGAAGCCTCAAACGAGAATTGAGGATTAAATCAGGGCTTTCTAGCTATCTGAATTTTCATGGATGATTCCAGTCTGATGTGAAAATTACTCTAGAAGTTTGATACATCTTGACAAAACCAAATAGGTAAATATGTTCCATCAATTGATTCTAAAACTAAACGGAACTAGAATATTGTATATCCCTATATTATGAAAGCTCACTCATTTGTCAAAAATTAAGCACTTTTTCATTTTATACTTATTATTATTGGCTTTATTCAATTCTATTTTATGGTACAATATAGAATTCTCAGCCCAGAGTATTTCAACAAGTTCTCTTTTCTTATTTCTTGATCGATCCTGATAACAAATATTGAGTGATCACCGATATGCTGTTATCAGTATCAGGTATCGACATCTGAATAATGTTCATTCTTTTCAATGAATATTTCCAGCCATCACAAAGTCGCTGATTGTACTTTTTTGTAATTTGTACAGTGAAAGATCGTAAACTTTTCATAAACGCACCTGACTAGGTTATGCGATTAAAAGACACAATGATGTGTCAAAACAAACAAACGAAACAGATAACTTGTTATAATGTCTAGAGAGCAGGAACAAGTAGCGCAGATATTCAAGCAGGCCGCTATTTCATCAAAAAAGAGATTCATCACGTAACAATAACATTCTAAATCAATTAACTAATATTCATACATGTTAGTTTTATTCTTATTATTTAGTTAAGATTAGATTTGTATACGAATTCTTTCATTCCTTCTAATTTATAGGTCACAACATTTCAACATTTTCATCTGTAGATATATTTATCCGTCAGTTCAATGTTCAACTTGCCTACACATAAGATAAAAATGGACAAGTTCTATTTCTAATATTTTCAATGAATATCATAGTACTCATCTTGATATTTAACAAATCGATATTCACAATTTTGATACAATTTACTTAATAGGTGAATTTATGAGTCAATTGAAGCTAGACCACCATGGAAAACCTAGAAGCACTTGACGGGTGGGTATCGTGGATACGCACTGCTGAGCAGTACTATACTATGACAAAACGACCGTTCAGTGCTTCCAGGTTTTTCATGCTGATCTAGCTGCAATTGACTCATGAATTCATCTACTAAATTACTATAATATCCACGAAATTCCTCTCTGATTACAATTTATTTCATTAAATATAAAGTTTGTTAGTTTGTTACTTTCAGTTGTACTCTAATTTGAAACTTGAGTTTTGTCTCAAACTTATCAGTTCATTAGTTTTTAAACAACAGTTACTCATGATACTCATCTTTTAAAAAGATCATACATTCTTCTTACTGCATTATTGTTTGAATATTTATAGAAATAACCATGGTTGGAAGATAATTAAAATAATAAACACATTAAACCTAAAGTAAATTAATTTCATTTAAATGACATTAGTGTGAAGTTTACCTCATCATTATTAGTGAAATAGTAGTATTGTAAATAATTCAATCAGTTTTGAACTAATTTCAATTTGTCAATTATTGTTTTGTGCATCACCTACTAGGTTAACCTTAAACGTTAAAATCTCTTACTAGAACATCAGACAGTTTTCAGGATTAAGAAATAAAACTTCCCAAAATGTTTACACATTACATTCAAGAACAGTACAGAACTAATAAACCAAAAATTGTTACTATATAACTACAAAGGTTCGGAGAAATTTTGTTAGCAACCTGACAGCAGTTGAAGAGACATCGAAAACTACTGAGTACTAGATAGTTGTTTTGTCCTAATTAATCAAAAAAATACACAAACAAACAAACAAATGGTGACATTTTGATCATAAAAATTTGACAAGTTTTTTTAAAAATGATCCACATGTTCTGTGACATTTACTAACTGTTTTTTTTAAAAATATTTAGTCTACCTTTTTTTAAATGTCAAAAGTTGGCAATAACAATCATAATGAACAGAGGAGAAATTTGGAATTCATTGTAAGTTATTTGTCCAACCATACTTTTCATCAGAAACCAATTGTATTATTATCATTCTATGTCACTTGTGATATTGTTTTTACAAAAATTGAGATGAACAAATAAAGAAAATCCAGCTAGTGTTAAGTTTCATATTGTATCCAGGACATATCACAGGAACAAATGCTATGGAAGATTAACTTGAATCAGTATACTTTATACGGTGTGATTGAGAAATCATACTAAACTCATCTATTTACTTCCATATTCAATCCTGTAAAAGTGTTTTCTACTAAAATCAATAAATTTTAATATAACTTAGTTGTAAGTTAATTGTTTAAATATACTCAATACATTTTAAAAATAACTTACAGGGATATTATTAAAAACGGATATGTGCTTTTACATTGTGATGAGATTGTAGTGGTTGGTCCTATGTCGAGCACACATAGCTTATTCTGGCTTCTGGATAAGCCAATCTATCCATTCTTCTTGAGTTCATATTTTGACCTTGTTAATTATTCACATATCAACCTTGACTATTTTTATAAGAGTGTCTGTGTGTACACTTCTAATCCTATTCATCACATGTCTGTAACTTATTTTTGTGTGATTATTGATATCGATTAACTGTTGATTAAATGGAGTTGGATCATTTTCCTCCTCCAGTGAACGTCATTTCGCCTCACTTTGTTCCTCTGATTGTCTGTCCAGATCAATGAGTGTACAAAATACATGTATTTATTACTCCTTCAGCAAACATAAGTATGGATTTGACTCAAACATGAGTATACTACTATTTAATTAAAAGTGCTCAACTTCTAAAACAAGTCTGATGAATCATCCCACTTTAAGTTTAAGGCCGAAACATTCTATTCAATTATAAATGCTAAATTAGCTTTATTAATACTACTTAGTGAAATAGAAGCGATTATTGGACAATGTAGTACTTCAAATGCTTTATTTACTTGTTTATTAGCTTTTTATCACATAAATTAAAGAAACATCGAAAGTAAGACTTCTGATTGAAATAAGTCAGTTTACAGAAGAAACAAAATTAGGATGAAAAATATATGACATAAACAGTTAATAAACATAAGCTTCAACTAATAGGTAATCATTTATTAATAGGCAATATTCTAAACTACAGAAAGTATATAGTCAATTGTTATTGACTATATTAACAATCGATACATATATGATGATTTTATATTTCTCTAAAACTTTAGATATGACTGTGAGAAAAGCACAATTTGTGACCTATTTGTGTCCGTGTATCCACGTGTTCTATATATATGTATCTTGTGTGTCTGCATAACTATGTATATTGTCAACTAATGTGTGCGTTCATCTTTTAATGTGAAATAGAATTGTCTAAAACAATTCCGTATATTGATAATTTCGCAAGCACATATATTTGTGTAGGCAAAATAAATGCGTAGGTGGTTAGTATTGATGCTTCTATAATTTGTTATTTATTAATATGGTGCTTGTCGTTATTATAAAATGCATCACAACATCAAGGCTAGGGAAATAAGTGGAAGTAACAGCAGCAATATTAGTGGTAATAGTAATGGATAGAAAACATGATAGGTTTAAAGCAAAAAAAAAAGGGATAGAAGATTCACATCTGCCTTCTTATTATCAACTTGTATTTTATTTGATAGAATATTGTTACTAGCATCAGTCGAACAGAGAAATAGTGTTAATTAATAGTGGCAATAAAAAAGAATTCTATAATTACACTATACTTTCTGACTTACTGTGACTTATCAGTTGGACAAATTCTGTTATTTTTTTAATCATTATTCAATCGATATAATTCATCTTACTATAATTGGATCCATTTATTGTTATTTTCTTCGAAACTAATTAAAATAGTATATACACATAGAAACAACAACAAAATCTTTTTTGACATATATTTTCTTTTATTAGTTATTCATCACTTCTCATATTTTTCAAATCTTCAATAGTATTACATCAGATTGTTCATAAATCTCATTAATATTGACTAATCATCTTATCTATTTATTTGAAAATACCTTCATCATTGACTGAATAATGCCAACGGTTAAAACGGGAAACAACGTAAGTGTTAATATGAATAGTTTTTTTTAATAATGTGTAATTATATTAAGGAGATATTAAAACTTTATGCATATTTACTTGCTGAATAAGTTTGAAATATGATTTATCAAACGATCAAAACAAAGTTTAAGTGAACGAACAGAGTTTACAGCTTGACAACCATTGTAGTTGAACATTATCAACACTAACCAGTAATACATTTTGTCGTTTAGACTAATAAAAACCGAACATTAACCTGTTATTTGATTCCTTTTGACCAAAAAAGCACCTTTGATACACGAAGTGCATCATAAAGTACAGATTTATGGACATTCTTAGTACTATTGACATATTATGTTTCTGAAGGGTATTAAAATTAGTTGCACCCTTTGAAATAATTCATATCACACAAGTTTTAACATATATATGGTGTCTAGATCATTATTTGTTCTATCAAAATCAGAAGATCGCTGTAGAAATGTTATAACTGATCTGTGTTTTAGTATTACACAGTAATAAACGTTGTTCCACAGATCAATTTGACACATGCTTAGTTGAATATGACACAGAATGTACACAACAATCAGAACGTTTTCTGTCTCTGTGACATATGAGCCGTGATATCTGTATAATATTTTTTTGCTAAAGGATTCATCCGTCTGCTAAGAGAATAATTAATTTCTTCATTCGTTCCGAAAATTTTTTAGAAACTTCATGATATCGAGACTTTTTATAGAAGTTTTAATCGCTTATAATTTTCCTATAATTAAAGAATATGGTGGGACTATAATTTATGAACGACCTCTAAGCGACACTAGACTGACCTTGAGAGTGTCCACCTAATAACTAAGACTAAATGAGGATTATAGATTAGTGTAAGGAATTCGAATGATGAGTTACAGTTTATGGTTAAGGTTAGGAATTAGAATTAGGGTTTTCCTCGCGAACTAATGCCAAGAGTCTATTTAACTAAATGGATGAGTGAATTTCTCGCCAAAATCCGATACCTGTTATCTTATACCTGAATGATTCGTCCATAAATCATAGTCTCGCCAACAATATTTATCTGTTAGCTAAAGTTCATTTAATTTTTTAAAATTTACGCATTTTTCTTGACAGTTAGACTAGTGATTTTATTCAATTAATAGCCGTTGTAATGAAGAAAAATTTTATAGTGAAATTATTAGGAAGTTGTCTATGTAACAATTTTTTGTCATTAGTTCAGTGTATAATCTATTTCTCATATGATTTAATAAGTTTGATTAGGAAAAAAATGTTTTGGCTTATTCAAAAGATCTTACTAGAACTTATTGATCAGATTATTACTATGCCTAAGATAGTTGGATAGCTTGGCAGATTAATTGACAGTTATAAATGTTCATATTTGTCATTTATTTCTTCAATAACATTTCTCCATCAGTCAATCTTATCTTTGAATTAAACTGATCAATTTTAAAATCACTGAAACTAAAATATCTATAATGTCGAATGCATAAAAACAAAGCTGCTGCCTATTTATATTTTATATGTGCTCATCATTAGAAATAAAGAAATTTATTCTAGTACCATACATTTTGATTCTTAACATACAATTCGATTTATCAATTAACTATTCATTATAACTACCAAACAGTATAAAAGTGAATCTCATTTTATTTTATTTTATTCTGAAGCTTTCAACATGAAGTAGTTCACTGATCAGAATTATTAGAACTGTTGAAAGTGGTCAGTTTTGTCAGCTATATTTTATAGCACAAGGTATTTTTTGTAATTGACTACTAACATATCCAAACACTAATCTTTCCGATTACTGCTTATACTCTTATTACCTCTACCACTACGGGGTTTGAATCGACAACTGCATCTCTGTGCTAATGTGGTGTGGCAACTCGAACTGATGTACGTACGTACGTACGAAGTTTTAAGTTGTTACTGACTGGCTGACTAACTGACATTCTACTTTAGTTTTGAGAAAATCTGTACTGCACTAGACCAAATTGTGTATTTTGTATTCAACTATAGTAATCATTATTGTGAAACCAACTTACTGTAAGTCACATGATCCTGATATACTTACATAAATTAGTACTTTTAGACGTATTGACCATGATAAAGTGTACAGTTAGGAATGATTAACTGGTTTTCTTTTTATCGGTTCTCTGTGAATCTATAATTCTTATAATAATGATGTAACTTAGACCGTAGCATTATTAAAAGTATTTCCTTTGTTCTCACTATTAATATCTGTCGAGATTATCAAAGTTGAAATTGCTTGAACAGTGGTAGTTCATAGCAACCACTGCTCATGGAAGAAGAATAAAGTATTCAGTTCAGATGCAATGCCTTCACTATCTATATTTTGTATTTCTTGTATGTATTTGTAGAAGGTTTTTGTTTCGGATTTTTTTAAAAACAAAATGAAGTATCCAGAAAATATTTCTCTATATGTACTCCATTATTTTTATCATAAAAACGGACAAATTCAGGACGCACGTTTCGTCCTACTTGGGACTTGCCATCTGGATGTACCTGCATCTCAGAGTTGATGTTCACTCTGAAACTCGGACCCAGTACCATCCGCTCAAAACACCATCGCGTTATCCACTTAACTACTGAGTCCTGATAGCCACTTGATTGTGCAATGAGGTAAGCGAATGTTACTGGGTTCGAGTCCCAGAGTGAACATCAACTCTCTGAGATGCAGGTACCTCCAGCTGACGAAATGCGCGTTCTGGATTCCCCTTCTAGCCGCTATCCATCGTTGCTTACAAATAGCTTGTGAATTAAGGTAATATTGAGGCATACGCACAGTATGCACATATGTCAATAACAGACTGATCAATTGCAGTCTTAAACGTTAATGGGAAGACACAAGCCAAACAATACCACGTGGATACGGATAAATTCAATTTACACTATCCTGAAATTTAACTTAGATATCTTAAATAAAACAAGGAACTAAATGGGTTGTTGAGTAAAAATAAAACAATTCAAAGAAGAAAATTTTCTATCAAAAGATACCATTCTCTAAAGCTGTATAAATGTATTTGTAGGTATAGTCAAAGAGTAAAGTTTAACATGTAAAATAAAATAATATGTAGCAAAAAATGTCAAAGCTGCTGGTTCACATAATGAATATAAGGAAGAATAAGCAGACACATATCAAAACAATTTGCAAAGCTACAAAATGATATAGGGAATTAAGATAATGGTAAAATAAAGAATTAGATATATCACCTAAACACAGAGACCAAATTTGAATCGATGAACTACCGAAACCTCCTCAATTCAGACATTTTATATCTAGTTTACCTCGGAACCAGTTGTCATGATTTTATTAAACATTTTGAATAAAGATTTTATTAAAGACAGATGACTAGGTTTGGCCGGTTATTTACTAATAAAATTGTTAACTAATTTGTAACCACCTTTAAATAGGTTTGTGCAAAGCTCAGATATGCGCTTGAAAAGATCACTCCTTGTGCTGCCAATATAACTTATGGTTGCCCTGTTAATGACGTGGCGGATTTATATTTTATTGTAGACAACTGACTACGTGATAGGTATGATTATAAAGGTTTAGTAAACGATACCTCAGGATGGAATTTTTCTTTTCCTTAACTGTTTTTTCTACTTGAAATACTTATTACCATTTTGTTTGCACTTTTTCTCTCAGTAGATCAGGTATTGTTCTTTCATCTTAATTTGGTACATTTCATTTAATGTTGATCTTAAAAATCCCTTTCATTCTCTGATTATATACTGACTGATTAGTGGGTGCATAAAATGGACTGATTCTGATACTGATGACTTTCCATAGAATAAAGTTTGTCCTTATGTGGCTACATATATATATCATGTGTTAATTAGATTATTAATAATAAATCCTATTCAGAATAAAATATATGGAGTTTAGGCGTTTAATTTTTTATTTAGGTACCCGAAAGAATGGAATTTCTGAAATATTTCAAATGGATTTCAAAAAGAAAATTATAGTAGTTATACAATTATTTCATTACTTTTTAGGTTCTCTCAGTAATAAATCTAGAGTTGAATCTAATATTTAACATTTTATTGATTAAAATGGTTGTATACATTACGAATAATGTCGTTTTTCCATTGGAGGTAATGATCGTTGAAGAAGTTTAAGAACTCAATATCTATCATAGTTATTTTGTATGTTTACACTTTTTATTTCATCTAAATCATTACTTTCAAATCTCCTAAATTCAAGCACTTATAGAAAGTACTTAGTCTGTACTTTAAACTTATACCACTACTGAGTACACATGTCCTTAAACTACCATAACAGTCAGATATATCACTTCATATGTTCGGCTTTTAAAGCCTATGAACTTTCATGAATAATATTTTAAAATATTAATGAATATGCTTTTTATTATTCTGTTAAACAATCTTGAAGTAATCAACATTTTCTGTCCCATAATTCCTTGGTGAAGTAATATTGATTGGTTATTACTATTTGTTTATTGATTTTAACTGTATAATTCTTACTATTATTTTGACTATATAAAAATGAGGGATTATTTAGGCGAATGGTTATATTTCATTGAAATATGAATATATTGAAATGCTCTGTAATGGATAATATACCACTAAAATAAATGTTTCCAATTAGTACACATTACACAGAACAACATTGCAAAACAGGTAAAAGAGAGGAATTAAACAATGTGAATAATGGTAACATTCCTATCACCGTCATGCAGACTGAAGATAAGTCCACAAATATTAGCAAAAGTGACAAATGTTCAGTTAGTTCAGAAATTCGAAACTCTCGAATGAATAATAGTTATCGAAATATACCTAGAGGTTCATCCTCTACAAGACAATTGCATAAATATTCTGCTCCTCATCCACTGATGTACTACAATATGGCAGGAAATACAACTCCTGTTAAACAAGCAAATAAAAAAACTGTAAAAAGATCCAATTCGCTTGGATCATTGTCTAGCAGACCTCCATTTTATCCTCCTGGTCCGCAATCCTGGGATGATATA